ATTTATTAAGATGACGGTAGGCTTTAAAATTTTAAGAATACTTATAAAGATATTTATATATTATTTACCGATAAAATTATAGAATTAGTTACACTCATCTGCTTTGCACGTGTTGAAACACATGTAAATCCAACCTATTAGGGGATGCTATGATTAAAATACATGTTTCTTTTCTTTTCTTTTTATGGTAAAGCATTAAAATACACGTAAATCTTTTGCAAAAGAAATCTTGAGCACTGTTGTAAAATAGAAGTGGAAATTACGGGTCTATTTGATCATGTTCCTATTTTTAAAAAAACACAGTTTTTAATATGATTTTAATAATTATTTTCCAAAACAAAACAAAATCTATTTCATTGTATTAATTTAAAAATATCTTAGAACTAAAAAATTGGCCGATCGTGATGCTCGCTAACGATTGATAATGATGGCTTGTAATGGTAATTAGTCAAGGTGATTGCAATTTTTAATAATTAAACATAATGCATTTTAAAAATAAAAAAATGAAAACAAATTTAAGATGTTTCAATTTTTTATTTTTAAAAATAAAAGATGAAAAAAGTTTTAAAGACAATTAAATTCAAAATACCTATCCAATTGAATTTTTAATTATGTTGTTTTTAAAATACAAAACTGTTTCTAAAAACAAAACACAAACAGGACCTACATTATTATTTAAAACTTTGTTTTTGGTGTTTCAAGTTGTGTAGCAATATTCACTACTATGTTTAGTGGAATAGAAATAAGATAGAAAATGAAAGACAGGATATCAATTAATAAGGGAACATTTCAGGACCCTTGATCGAATTTAATGAAAAAGAGAACTTCAAAATTTTTGAAACTGAAGGACCCATGCAAAATTTATGTTAAATTTGTGGTCGAAAAGATAAAATTACCCTCATTTAAATGAATAACATAAATGACTTGTTTGTTCTCATACTATATGTTGTTTATTTATTTATAGAATATATTTGTTTTTTATTTCACTTAATTTCATTCAAAGGGTCATAAACAAGTAAAGTAGGGAGACAAACAATATTTTATAATAAGTACATGAATAGTATATAGTATGATAACAAACAAGTCATCTTAGACCAGGCCTAAAAGGCTAAGCTTGTAGGCTCTATTTAAATAAGGGTTCAAGCTTTAAAAATTATTTTTTTCAAAGAAATCGGGCTTGAAAGCATGACCCTGATAAGCCCTGTGAAAAAAGACTCGGCCTTGAGTGGCCCTCCAAGCTCTGATAAGCTTGATTATTATATATATATACATGCATATATATTTGATTAATAATGACACAATTTGATTAATATTTATTATAGGTGATTAAGAAGAAGTTATAAAGATAATTAACATTGAATTTTCACCTCCATCTTCAACAAGTACACTTACATATGAGAGATTTAATGTTTTATTTGTAAATGATGAGGATAAAGAGGATTTAAGTTTTGATTAATAAATATGTGTTGTTTAGATTTCTAAATATATATTTAATTTTTAAAAAATTGCGTGAATTTTATTTTTTTAACTTCAAAATATTTTAATTAATTTATAATATTTAATTTTAATTTTTTTAAACAAGACTTTTAACCTGATCTTGAACCCTTTACATAAGAGTTGGGCTTAAAAAAAGAGATTGAAAATGGATAAATGGGCTCAAGGAGCCGAGCCCGCCTATATTCCCAACTATAATCATAAAACCAATACATGATAAAATCAAGTGAAAGTGGGGTTATAAACAAGTAAAGTAAAAAAATGAATAATATTTATCAAGTAAATAAACAACACATAATATTAATAACTAATAAGTTGTTCATTTAAATGAGAACAATTTTATCATTTTTATCACAAATTTAACAGAAATTCCATACAAATTCTTTAGTGATTTTTTAAAAAATTGGGTTTCTCTTTCTCATTAAGTTTGGTTGAGGGTCTTTGTCTGAAATTTGCCCATTAATTAATTTATCCTTATAAGAATTTTTTTTTCAGAAGTTGGTAAGGGACAAATCTGACTTTTCACCTTTTATTCATTTGTTTTTCCACCATGCTATTACTAGCCAAGGAATGGTCAGCATAAAGTCAGTGGGAAAAGTGATGATTGAGAGAGTGAATTTCCTGCGAAAACTCGATTCTTCACCTAAAAAAACTCGGTGTGCATGCAAGTCAACGAAATTAATAAACCCATTGATTTTCTATTGTCAACGGACTTTAATGATACTGACTGAGATAATACGTCGCAAGTTTAGGTTTTTTAAGCTAAAATACGCACGAGTAATCTGTTATATCTATACAATTATTTTACTCTTTACATAGTTAGTCAAACAAATATTCAACACTAAGCATAAATTGGCATGATCAGGCTATATGTTAGTGGACTACTCTTTTGAAAGATGAATTTTGGTCCTGACTTTTAAAGACCGCACGATGATTAAGTATATCATGTGACCAGCAACAACTGTTTTTGTCCTGTTTATAAAGCAATCAAAGAAAAATAATTTTAATCATATTTATAAGATATTTTATTATTTTTATATTCATTTTTATTTTTTTATATTTATTAAATTTATTAAATATTAAAAAATTTATTATAAATAATTCTTTTTGTCTGTACAGGAAAAAAGATATGAAAACTTGATAAATTTAAGATAAAATTAATGACGTTTAATTTTTTTTATTTCATTAAAATACATAAAAGTGATTTTAAATAACATGCTTAAGTATATAATATATATAATATAACTATACTTTCCCTGACAGCACCCAAAAAAAAAAAAGAGCAATTATTTCAGGGAAAAAAACGAAAATCCATTCAGGAAAAACATCTTTCCGGTCCAAAAACATTGTACGTATTTCAAAAAACAAATTGTTACGTTTCCAAATACAGGTTTCTTTTAGGTAGAGCCGATAATTTGGGTCGAATCCGACAAGTTAGCTCAAACTCGCCTGAAAAAAGTTAGGTTCAGGCTTAAAAAAATATAACTTTTTTATATTCAAGCTCCCGAATAGACCCAAAAAAATTCAGGCCAAGCCCGATTGGATTCGGGCTTGTCCCGAATGCCCAAATAAAAATATTTTTTTTTATAAAATATATTAATATGATAAATATTAATTAATTAATTATGTTTTAGGTTATTTTATACTAAAATATTATATATTTGAGTCCTATACATCATTTAAATATCAAAAATATATTTTATATTTTTTATAAAATAAAATAATTAATTTTAAAGTGAAAAAATTAATTAAAAATGATTTTAAAAATATAAATTCAAATATTTGGGTCATCCAAAGCTCGAAAGAATTCAGGCCGAACCTAGCTATTTGAACTTCTCAGAAAGTCAAGCCTATTCAAGTTCGAGCCTATTCGATATCAGGCCTATTCGGGCCGAACACAAATAGACCGGTCCATCCAAATTTTCAACTCTATTTTTAGGTTTGGGGTTTTTTTTGTGCTTGGACTCCGAGGGAAGGTGGGGGCATGCAAGTCACTTTCTTTTATCCTACGTATAACTTGGGACAAATCCAAAATCCAATACATGGGGGAAACACTACTTAAAATATGAGAGACCAACACTAATTCTTACAATTTTTATTAAGTAAGATAAAAAAAATCTAAAAAATTTCAAGAAACTAATGAAATTGTGAGGGAGCAATCACCCCCTGTCCCTAATATAAGTAAATATTCACATGTTTTATCAAAATCAAATAAAACATTAAATATCTTTGACTCATTCTAAAAATTCAATATGCTTCTAACTTTAACATGCTTTAAACATAAAGTAATACAGTATTTAATAACCTTTACAACATTACTTCCTTCGATTTTATTTATAAGGCATATTCTAGAAGACCTATTATGTTCCATTTATAAGTTATGGTACAACCTTTTATGTAATATTTAAAAAATATTTGCAAAATTACCCTTTATGAAAGAGAAAGAGTAATAAGATATTACTTTTTAAATTTGTTACATAGGAACATATTTAAAATTTTATGTATATTTTATTCTTTTTACTTTTTTTGTATTAATATTGATGAAGTTGATAAAAATGACTTATAAAAAAATATTGAGAGAGTATTTAATAGGGGTCAAAGGATGGAAATATATACAAAAATTAAAAACATGCCATATAAATGAAATCAGAACAATTACTCTTCCCGACCTATAAATTGAATTAAAAGAGCATATGTAGATGTATTAATGACAATTTTCTTGTTTCGCTTTTGGTTTTAATGCGTTGTAATCAATGTCACTCTTTTGATCCTATTTATATATCATTTTTAACATGTTTTATTAGAATACAAAAATTTAAAATTCATTAACATTGTTTAAAAATTTAGTAAATTCTCAACTTTATATTTATTAAATATACATATTTTGATAATTTTTTTCCACCAACATTTAATGGGTGATAAAAAAATTGTAATAAAATTTAATAAAATGGCTTGAATATAAAAAAATTAACAATATGACTTATAAATAATATGAAGAAATATTCTCTCCCTATTTTATAAATAATAAGATTGAAAGAAATATGTCAGTATTGACTTCTTTTGAATAAAGATGATGGTAGAAGTGACAAATTTGACGAGTTACTCTCAGCGACTTGCTTGTGTGATGGCTTTGATTCATCAGCTCTGTTTTTTTTTTTTTTTTACACGTTTCATTGTTGTTTATGGTCACATAAAGCAAAAAAACAAAAAAACAAAAACAAAAAACTGTGCAAGTTAGGCAAAGCTAATCATTGATGTCGATTCATTGTAGGCAGGCGAATAGCATGTGATTCTTTCAGCCATTGTTTATCGTTTGTTATTTATTAATTAAATGTAACAATTACAAGCTGAATAATTGGACAGCAATGAAAACAGCAATACAAGGCTTCACTTCAAAGCAAGCACCGAGCACGTACAGAGATCGGATCTCAAGAGTCGCATCGAAGCAAAGATCAAGATCATCAAACATGACAAGATTAAGGTAGATAATGAAATCAGACATGGAATGTTGAAAAACTGGATGCGAAGATTAATTGAAAAATATTTCACTATGTCACTGACTCTGTACACATCCGAGCAAGATCAATGGCCAGAACAAGGTCATGGCACTGCAAGATGAATCTTATTTATATTTTATACAGTTTCTTGATCAAATATCTAAAAAATAAAATAACATTAATCACTGGTTCTCGCTGTGAACCAGCCAGAGATTCTTGAATTGCGATTCCACAGTTTCCATCAAGTCCTTCACTCTTGTTAAGCAATAGTGGGTGCAACAAGGTCCCGTCTGGCATGACCCGACCCGAGTCGTCTTCAACAAATAGCAAACCGGCCCGCATCCTGCCCGTCTGCCCTGGACCACTACCCCCCAAACCTTCGTCGTGTTTTCTCTCCCTTTTATTCGTTCTTTCCCGGTGAGATCGTCGCCGGTCAATTCTTCCACCAATATAAGGCCTTCTGGCAATGGCGCCATTTCCTGTCGCCATTTTCCCTTCGCCTCTGGCCAATTCTCCTCCGTCGCCCTCTTCTCTGTCACCAAGGTCGCCGTCGCCGTCGTTGTCCTTGTCTTCATCATATGACCATCGCCGCCGCCGTCAGTATAGCCCTTTGGAAAAACATGCACTAACAACGGCGCCTCCCTCAGATTTTTGACGATCTCTACCACAGAATCCCTCATCCACCTATCCAACCTATCGCTCGCGTCGGCAGCATCTTTTCCTTCTGACCGATCGCTGTTACCGCGCGGTTCCATATCCAAACTCAAAAAATTCTCCTGGAAACCGGTAGCCGCCATGGCCGGAGCTGTCATCAAGGCAGCGGCCGCAGTGATCCTCCTATCCTGTCCTCTCGAACGGCTCTGACGTCCAACGAACATCACAGACATGGGCCGTGGCGCACCGCCACAGAGACTACACAGATTATTGTCGATGCCGAACTTGGCAAAACTACGATTGCTGCCGGTGCAACCAATGCGGAGAGAAAACGCCATCTATAGGGATGGCGGAAGGAGCGAATCAGAACGAAGAATCAAATGGCGAAGTTCGAAGGAGGATCGGATGGAGAATATCAAGAACGACCTGGAGATAAGTCAATTGCCTGAGACACGTATTTGTAAGGAAGGCGAGCCGAGATTGAAAAAGCGAGGGAGTAGAAGTTATAGGCTTATAGTGATAGATCTGGCGAAGATTAAACGGTCGAGATTATTCTGGCCTGAAACCGTCACTTATTTATTAGTAATTTTAAATTTTAAATAAATTTTTGAAATATGCTTGATCTCATTTATAAAATATATTTTAAAAAATTTACTTAATTTTATTTATAAATTATGATATGATTTTTTAAATAATATTTAAAAATATTTTTAAAATTAACTTTTATGATAAAAAAATAATATCATATTATTCTTTAAATTTATTATATAAAAATATATTTAAAATTTTATATTTTTTTATTTTAATATTGATGTAGTTAATAAAAATAATTTATAGAAAAAATAAAAAGAGTGATAGCTAATGAGAGTTTTTTTTTTTTTTTTTCTCCCTCCCTCCCTCCCGTTGGCCTCCAATTAGGACTCCTTGTTCAAAGAAGAAACATTGCCTGCAAGCTAGAGATGCAAAGAAGAGCGCAGGTTATGTTTCTCTGCGGGTGGATATATTAGATTTCGGTGTAGTCTTCTCCTTATTCAGGTTGATGTGTTGATAGACGGTCGGGATTGATTGGAGTAAAAGAGAAAAGGAAAGAGTGAGCGCGTGCGATTGGGGGATGGCTGTGGTTCTTATGCGTCGGGGAGGAAGAAGAGGGGCACGTGGCTTCACGAGAAAAGTGCATGGATGTCGAAAGCGGGCACACGTATAGCGTTGGCTTGGACAAATTCCTGGCCAATAAAAGTAGTATCGCATGACACGTCAGTAGATGCAATTCCACATCAGCAGCTCGCTAGGAGTCGGAGTTTTATAATTTGATTTTATATAAATTTATGAATATTATAAAATTAGTTTTTTTGGGTAATAATTAAACAATAGTTTTGAACCCTACTGTCCAAGTACCGCTCTCAATTATTCTTTATTTATTTTTTTAGGAAATTATTCTTTATTTATTGGATCTATCCTCTTGGAAAAATATTGTCAGTTATCGATTGGAGTAAGCTTGTTTATCACTTCGTTTGGATTCGATTTTATATCAAAATCAAATTAATTTTAACAATTGGATTTTGCCAAAATGTGAATCTATTGATTTTTTTTTTAACATAATAATCCTCTTCACTTGGCTTTTATTTTCATGCTTGGTTCAGTGTTGATAGTAAAGTTCATCTCTTCTTTTTCTCGCTCTTGTTAATTAATTCGGTTCATTGTTTTTAAAAATAATTTATTTTTGCAACTTTAGATAGATCAATTTTGAATTTGGTTTCTATAAATAAAATTTATTATTTTTGGAACAATTTTTTTTTAAATTGAACTAAATGATAAATCTTGCTTTTTATTTGCCAAATTCAACACAGGGACGAATCTAGAGGGAGGGAAGGATAATCACTCTTTAAAGAAATTAGAATTTTTACTTATAAGAAATACTGAAATAAATTTTGGACCCCCTGCTTCATATTATAATTTCAAATTTGCCTCCATACCCCGAATTCGTCACGACATTCAAGAATCAAGAGCATGCTAAAATGGAAAAAAGAAAAAGACTAACAATTATTGTCTGTAGGGATTTTCTTGGTAGAAATTGTTTGGAGAGTTTTAATCCTACGTGTGGTTTAACTTGGCTTGATCCAGATTGACATCCCTTTTTTTTTTCCGGGATTTATAAAATATCCCTTCTATTTGCAAAACTAGGAACCAAAAATATTTTGGTTGAAAATTTTGAAATTCCACTTCGTATGTAATTTTTTTACTAAATGAAGTTCAAATGATTAATTTAACCCCGTGACCCACCACAATTTCTATTTCGCACCTCACTATGTTTTTAAAATACAAAGGAGGTGAACAATATAACAATTTCATTGGAAGATCGTGATATAGCAAAGCTCTATAATCATTTAGCACCTTTGACATGGTGTCCGTATGAGCAGGAACGGGTTAGAAAGGAACGAGTGAGGGGCAACTTGAAAAAAAAATATTGAATAGGAGGTGAAAATCTATTTTTAGAATTTTTACAAGCACGCTTACAATTTTTACCAAAGGAACATCCAAATGTGGGGGGAGGATCCATCCTAGAGTGTTCATGCATTTAGCTCTGTATATGAACACTCATGCGCATTTTTTAAAAAATGTACGTTTTTTAATTTTAAGAGAATTTTCACCGCCACATGCATGTATCTCCTTTTTTTTTTTTGTATAAAACTCATGCATGCATGTATCTTAATAATATAATTACTAGTTGCTAGTCATGTTAAGGTGGGTGTTTTGGTCCAAACAAAATTGAATCTGGTGATTTGATATTAACTATGAGTACTGAGCTAAATTCTTATCAGCCTTTTTAATATATATTTAAAAATCTAATAATAAGAAATAGACCTTGTGGGTGGGGAATGGATAGAAATAGAATTTTAAAAGTAAAAAATCTTGAAAAATATACTCTCCATAACTCTTTAATGAAAAAAATATTTTTTGTCTAAACTTTAAATATGAGAAAATTTATTTTTTTCCTTGATAAGTAAGCACTCATTCTAATCCTTAATATAAGATAAATTTTGAAACTTTTTTGTCCTTAATAAGTTAATAAAAGAAAAAATTCGAGCAATTATTCTTCTACTTTAAAAAAAAAAAATTGCTCCATATTTATTTATTATCATTTCAATTCTTAAAAAAAATATCGTGATTGTTAATGGCAAAAAGAGAAAAATTGAAAAATTTATAGAATTTTTTAATAATTTTAAGTATATAATAACTATTTCTGATGTAATCTTTTTTGTTTATGTTATCATCTTTTATCCAACAAAAAAGTGTGACCTTGATTAATTTTGCATCGAAATGAGTATAACTAAATTATTACTATTAATATTATTAAATATACATGGCTACCATCTCAACATTCAAATATGTTTATTAACTGTAACAACATTTATAGATTCATCTGAAGTTGTTATCCCTTTATTTATAAAAGATTTGAATTTGAATTGAAGAAATGACAATAATTTTTTTTAAATTATATAAATAATAACTTGGTCCATCAAAATACTATAATTATAATAAAGTCCCAACCTTTGTGTTAATAAATTTTAAAGTAAAATAATTATTTTACCTTTACTAAAAATAGCAAACTTTAATCACAATTTTTATTTAAAAAATTATTAATTTTTTTTTATAAATTGCAAAAGTTGAACACAAATTGTCAAGTTCATTTTGTTATTGAGAAACGAGTATCAATCATAATTTTTATTTAAAGAACAATAATTTTTATTTTGTAAATTGTAAGAATTAAATAAAAAATTACAATTTGTTAAGATAAAATAATTTTTTAATTTAAAATTTATTGATAAAAAAGTTCAAAGAGCATAATTATAATATTTTAAAATATCAGATTATTATCATATAATTTGAAGGAATTTTTTTATTTGAATTTGATAGACTATAGTATTATATGCTTTAGCAAAGGTGGGTATCGCGGTTGAAGTCATTTAAATATATAAAAAAGAAAATTCAATGTATTTATTCTTCTCGTCTTGAATATGACAGCTAATGGTTAATAGCTAGTTTGCAGGGGCTGGTCTGCCTACAGGAATCACAAGAAAAACGAGCAAAACGTTTCAGCTACCATACATTCGATGGTTCTAGATCTACAATAAGAGGCCACGCGTTACCTTTTATCACGATATATAAAATAATCCACAGTCGGCCCAATTGAATTAATAACTTTTTTTAATAAAAAAAAATAGAGGGCCATGTAATAAGCAATCACAAAAGGTTCCAATCAAGATATTCCACTCACGGGAGGCTGTATGCACAGGGCTTCAAGGTAATTGACAAGATTAATAAAAAAAATAAATTTGTTTGAATCACACATAATTTTAAGAGCAAACTAATATTTCTCGTGATTTGTAAATAAATATGGAGAATATAATATCAACGAAGGACCTTCAAAAATTTAATATTAATTTGACAAGAACTTGAACAAATTAAATGTTTATTGAGCGAATAACTTTACTTGTCAAATGTTATTGTTTAGTAATATTAAATTCCTTAAAAATAAATAATGCGAGGTATTATGAATTTTAGTATAATATTATATATATAGGTTATAAATCGATTTTCTCCTAATGAAAACACAGTAATCAAACGACGGTGAAGCACGATCGCTAAAAATACAGGTAAAACACATGCGTCTCTTGTTTTCAAACCTTATTGCTTATATATCAGATGGAAATCCTAGGCATCAGAGAAACAAAAACACACATAAATCAAACAATCATGTGAATGATGTCTTGAGCTAAACGAACGAGAGACATGAGAAGCTTGGTTCTATCAGGAAAAGGCGAGACCATCTTCGGAGGCACCAGAGTGAAAACCTTCTCACAGGAATCAGTACCATTAGCAGCAATCTCCAAATAAGAAAGGGCAACATCATTCTTACCAGAATCTAACTGTCTCGCGGCAGACGATATACCAGTTACCGTCACGGCATAGATCAGACGACAACTCTGGAGCTTGTCGGCGACAGCTTTTTCTCTGGCCTTTCCGACCAATTCTGGGATGACTCGGTTTAAGGTCTCGTTAGCGTTGTCCAGTGATTTGTCACACATGATGTGAGCGAGCCCTTTGGTGTCTGCTCCGACGCTTTCTGGGTCTGACTTCAAGGTGGATTCGCACAGGCTGGGATTGCTGGTTTTCTGACATACTTGATCAATCAAGTCATTTGCAGAAACTTGCGCTGTTGATAGATGATGGTGATATGAAGAGAGAAGAAAGGAAAGAAGAACGAGAACAAATTTGGGATTTTCATGTTCACGATCCCTTGATCACTCACAAAATTGATCTCTGCAGCATGGAGAGATGGGATATATTGTTAGAATTGCAACATGTAATCCCCAAGTTTAATAAATAAGGGCTGAACTGAAACTGTTTTGCAATCTTGGGAATTGATGATCTGCACCATCTCCGCTGAATAATTGTGATTCT